CTCTGGAGCAAACAATGTAGTTGCAGACGCTTTATCTCGCATAACTTCCTTGAACAGTTTCCAAGAAATCGACCTTCTTAAACTCGCCGAGCTTCAAAAAGAAGACAGTGATCTTCAGCACGAGTTATCGTCCACAACACTTAAACTACGCATCAAACAGATGGGAACAGGTAAGGAAACCTTACTTTGTGACACATCTACAGGTAGGGATCGCCCAATCGTGCCGAAACATTATCGACGCAATGTCTTCAATACATTGCACAAACTTTCTCATCCAGGTGTTCGTGCAACCATCAAGCTTATAGCAGAAAGGTTTTGCTGGCCTGGAATGAATAAAGACGTGAGGGAGTGGGCACGCTCCTGTGTAAGCTGCCAAAAAGCTAAGGTTATCAGACACAATAAATGTCCCTTAGGCTCGTTTAAAACTCCCGATGCTCGTTTCGACCATGTTCATCTGGATTTGGTAGGACCTTTACCAGATTCAAATGGATACTCTTATCTCTTAACCTGCGTAGACCGTTTCACTCGATGGCCAGAAGCAGTACCTATCAAGGACATCACTGCTGAAACAGTGGCTCGCACCTTCGTCGAACGATGGGTAGCAAACTTCGGCTGCCCTTCAACCATCACTACAGACCGCGGACGTCAGTTTGAATCCGATCTTTTCCGTCGTCTGACCACACTTTTAGGAATCACTCGCTTCAGAACGACCGCCTACCATCCACAAGCAAACGGGTTGGTAGAACGTTTTCACCGACAACTGAAAGCTTCGCTATCAGCTGCAAACGTTTCACAGTGGACCGACGCTCTTCCACTTGTCTTACTAGGTATCCGCAATGCAGTGAAAGCTGACATTGGATACACTGCGGCTCAACTCGTTTATGGAACGACACTTCGACTTCCAGGAGAATTCGTGGATCCTTCATCCTCTTCAGTGAACATGGATCTAACCTCCTACATGAACAGGCTTACAAACGCAATGCGTTCAGTTAAACCTGCTTCCACTCGACCTCAATCAACTGATGTTTTCGTTCAACCTGACTTACGATATAGTACACACGTTTTCGTTCGTCGAGACTCGCATCGACGACCCTTCGAATCAGCATACGAAGGACCCTTCAAAGTTCTTCAACGTGAATCTAAGTACTATATAGTCGATAAGAACGGAACCAACGATAGCATCAGTATCGATCGCTTAAAAGCAGCGTATTTAGAAGGAAATCCTATCTACGTGGATTTTCCTTCGGTACAATCGAACGACACGACTCCGACACTTATAATACCTCATCCGACAACCAACACACACGATGATACTTCGACAGTATCCGAAAATAAACTTAAAACGACGCGTTCTGGAAGAAGGGTGAGATTTCCAGAACATCTAAACGACTATTGCACGTAAGGCACTTCTCGACATTTTATATTATTTTTAAAAAAAAACAATTTTAATATGCTTATATATTTTTATTTCGATTTAAAAAAAAACAAAACAAAAAAACAATTTTTTAACGCTATTACGTGTTCATGAGTTTATTTTCCATTTTTTTTCCGCCGACATTGTGCTTTTACGCACATACGAGTGTATTTTCGACATGCACTTACATTTTTTTTCTTTTCCAGGACGGCTGGAAAAGAACGATGACGTTTATGAGGATCCGAAATTTCCATGTACATTTTCTTTTTTTTACTATGTTGTACCTCCGTCCCACATAGTAAGGAAAGACGACCAGACGCTGCTAAATTTAGTAAGCTGTCAGAAGAGTGTTTACCAACGACAAACTCGTTGGGTTTAAACTTCTGGCTGGCCACGTCTTAGGGTCGTCACTGCCCCACTAGGGGGGGAGTGATCTGTAGCGGTAAATAAATCCCCAAAATAAATAGCACTAGGTTTTCGACATTGGATGCTGACCATATGTTTTAGTGGACTCACCTAGCTGAAGGCGCTCGGTCAGGCATCCGCACCAGATCACGTGTGGTAACGCCGTGCTCAACATCAACCGCAATCGCTAGCCAGATTAGATCAGAGAATTCCGATATATTGGTCATCGCCAAATATACTCTTCCGATCTCCTCGACTCTGTCTTTTGATTTCTCTGGGCGGGAACGAAATATATTAGGTGTTACTGGTAGAAGCATTGTCAAACACTGAATACCTGTGACATCATCAGGACTATACATTCATTTAAGTGAAGTCGTGGTTTATAGGGATGCTTCCCAAAGTGCATGATCCCGCACTTGTTGAGGTTAAATGGTAATTGCCATTTTTCACTCCATATAGTTAAGTTATTGAGGTCCTTTTGGATCTGGGATACACTTTCGCTTAGTGTCTCAGGCTTATAGCTGTATACTATTTTGAGATCATCAGCATATAAGTACGGTTTCCCAAATCTTATGGTGTTACATATATCGTCTATATACATAAGAAACAAAAGTGGCCCTAATACGCTTCCCTGGATGACTCCACTGGTGATTGGTCTAGGGGACGAGAGACAGTCATTGTACTTTACCATCTGTTTACGTTCTGTTAAGAACGAAGCAAACCATGAGTACAGTGGGTTGTGTATTCCGAAGGACTTTAGTTTGACGAGTAGCCTTTTGTGTGGGACCTTATCAAAGGCTTTCTTAAAGTCTAGGAATAGGACTGATACAAGGAGTCCGCTGTCTCGTTTCAGAGTTATATCATTCAGGTAGTCTACTAGGCATGTATCGCATGATCTGGACCTAAGAAATCCATGCTGGGAGGTCGACAAGAGATTGTTAGTTAATAGATGTTGGACTACAGCCGCCTTAACTACTTTTTCCATCACTCTGGATACCACTGAAGTTATGTTTATAGGCCGGTAATTTTCAACGTTTGCTTCAGGTCCTGTTTTAATTTTGGGAATGATATGTGTAGTTTTCCAGGCAGTAGGGTAACACGCTGAAGAGAGTGATATCGCGAATAGTTTGAGAAGCAAAACACACATATCATCACCTCCACGTTTTAGCATGCTAGATGGAATACCATCTGGTCCATCAGTGTAGGAGTGTTTCAATGTACTGATTGCTTTGGAGATATTTTGTACACTGAATTCTACATCAGTAATTTCACAGGGAGTTACTGGGATTGGTTCTGAATCATTAAATGGTTTTTCGTTAGTTAGTGAGAAGCAAAAATGTTCACTGAATAATTCTGTGATAAGTTTGGGATCTTCGTATACTTGTTTGCCTTTAATGAATATACTCCCTCTCGATTTAGAGCGTTTAAGTTTATTTTGGAGTAGTATGGTGAGTACAGAGGAGTTATTATTAAGTTCAACTGCACGTTTTTCCTGTGCTACTGCTTTTTGTTTACTTATTGCCTCTGTTCGGACAAGTATTTCTGTCATCGTTACTAAAGAGGAAAAGTCATTTAAGTTGTGGAATCGAGTACAATGTCTTTGAAGACGTCTTCTTGTACTGACCGGTATATAGAGATCTTTGGAGAACGTAGGTTTACAGTATTCTAAAGGTGCGATGTTGTTGATGATACTTTTGATGTTGTGATAAAATATATTGGTTAATGTGTCGGTATTGTTTGAGGTAAAGAAAGTTCTCCAATCAGTGCTTCTTAGGTAATTGTGGAAGTTATTCCAATCAACCTTGCGATAGTTTCTACGAAGTGTTACGGTTTTACTTCTATCGGTTGTGGTTTTTACATTAAGGCTGCATATGACAATGTTATGATCACTACCTGGGAACTTTTTTCCAATATACAAAGTATTGGGGATGAGGCCACTGGTAAAGACTAAGTCTAAGATGTTTTGATGTCTGGTAGGGCTATCGACATACTGAGTCCATTGTCCAAGCTCTAGACATTCAATAAATGATTCATAACGTCTCGGCGCTTTGACTGGCAGCCAAGAAATTTCGGGCATATTAAAGTCACCACAAATGAGCTTGCCTGTGAATGAGAGGGATGATGCTAGCGTGAATACCTCCGATAATACTGCTATTTCATCTATCGATGCGTTAGGTTGACGATAAACACAGCCGAGCAGTAAGGTAACGGAATTCGACGGCTTTAATACAATCCACACCGAATCCTTCAGTTTGTTTAGTTCAGGCATATCACATAGCAGTGAGTTCAGGCTAGAGTGAGCGTAAATAAGGCATCCTCCGCCTCGTCCATTCAATCTATCGCTTCTATATAGGGAATAGTTATCTAAAGATATGCTTCGGTCGGAAATATTACTGTTAGTCCATGCTTCAGATATCATAATAACTGATGGTTGATATATGGATACAAACAGGGCTAAATCCGTCTTTTTGTTGCAGATCGATCGAGCGTTGATAAGACATATATTAAGCAAGTGACCTACTAAGTTAAAATGAGTGAGGGTATTTCGGATAAAGTCGTCGTAACCCTCGAGAGTGTAAGATGAGTTTGATGTGAGGGATTGGATGTTCTTCATTAGCTCGGTATTTTGATAGTTAAACTTATTGGGAGATGTATCAAATGAGCTGGTGAAGTTGATTGGGGAGTTTACCCAGGAGGAAAGGGTGGGAGTACTCTGTGATGGAAACTGTACGGAGGAAACAAATTTATGGTTTGCATGTGGTTTGAAATAACCTGGGCTATATGCTTCAACAGAGGTGTCACTAGGGGTCTTATTCCAAAAAAATCTTGTACAGGCCTACTGTGAAGTGTATGGTTATTTACAAAATAGTCTTGATGGTTAGACTCGTAGCCCCTGTTATGGCTATTTACGTTAGCGCGAGAGGGGTCTGCTACGCGTAACTGGGAGGAGTTGCGACTGTTGTTATACATGGGAGCCGTTGTTATGTGATGGGTCGGTACTAAAGGGTATGAGAAGTTTTCATTTTGAGAGTAATTACAGTTGCGATCCTGGGGAATGTAGGTAGGGTGTGGAGTGAGAAACCTATTATTACCGTTCTTATTTATGGTTTTAGGCTTCAGGGGGTGATTTGGGTGGCCAGTTCTCTGGTAGTTTTCGTTAGTCTGCGTGTAAGAAGGCTTGCTACGTTGAAGCCCACCACCCTTTTTTGCAACTTGGAGGTGTTGAAGGCAAGTTATACGATAGCAGCGGGGAGAACCTGTTCACTGTTCTTGGGATACCTATAGAGCAGTTGGGTTCAATCTTACGTGTTTCCCTATTCGGTATCATGAGTTTTGTCTTCCCACCCTTTATTTTCAGAGCAGGATTCTTTCGTTGTCTTTGTGAGATGAACTTACGTTCATTCAAGTCTACTCGTGGAATGTCTTTAGGAGGACAAATTTTCAAGTGTATAGGTTTAGTTGCACATGTGTTGTTACACGACTCACATTTTAGTACATTACTGAATGAACAGCTGGGATTAGTCATGTCGTTATGGTTTTTGGTGTCAGTTGGGGTCCGTATCTTATCCAAAGGTTTCTGATCTGTAGACTCATCTAGATCAACATAGTGATCAGCCGTATGTGGAGTGGTGTCATGTTTAATGTTCGTGTGTTCTAAACTATTTGCTGTGTTGCAAACTGTCTCTGGCTGATTATTAACTGTAACACTCCCATTCAATTCTATCGCTTCGCGTCTTCTTACACGACGTTGACAGGGCGTAAGGTCTGGAGTGACTTTTATATTTTTGTATGGAATTAGTGAGCTAATGTTTTTGCTCAAATCAATAAACTGCTTAGCATCGTTACAACAGCCAAACATAAACAAGAGGGGCAAGTTGATCTGTCTGACTTTTTTCTAAGGCGGATGACTTTGCAGTTAACGTTCGGCATACCGCATGCTCTAAGGCAAATATCTCTTAACTTAGATGGGTGTGTGCGGTCGGGGAGGTTATACACAACTGCATTGAAGGAGGACATTACTCTCTTCGTCACTTCTTCAGCCACAAACTCCAAAATACACTCAGCTTTAGTGAGTTGCTCAAGATTTCTGTCTGTATCAAGGCCCCATATATGAGTGAGGGGTGCTAATTGCTCAAGTTTGCCGTTAATTTCGGATAGAGAGTTTTGTAGCTGTCGGATGTCATTACTATATCTATCAGTATTTTGGTGCGTATGAGGTGGACCATTGGACTCTTTAGTTTTTGAAATTTTAGACTTAGGCCTTGGTAGCACATACTGTTTAGTAGACTGTGCTGACTTTTCAATGCACGTAGGTATAGTGTCTTGTATGTCAACCAGTCTTACCGTTGGCATACTGCACGTAAAGATAGAGGGGCTGCGACATGGTGAATCTGGTGACGATAGGGACATTTGTGTACAATGCACATATTTTTCAGTAGTTAAAGGTTCGACATTGTCAAGCACTGAGTCGTCAGTTGTAGGGGTTACAGATTTGGACCTTTTATTTGGCTTAGAAGTTGGTGACATTCCTCCTTTACTGGAGTTATTGGACATGATATGAATATAAGTGAGCACAGTGCTCGTTAAATTAAATATAATATCTGAGTATTAGTTGTTATTAAGTATTAACCTGGTTAATACTAGGATTAGAGACTGTGAGTATATAATAAATTGCAGACCTATTTACGACTTAATTCCGCAATAGGTACAATACGAACTGGTAATTGTCCGTCGAATAAAAATAAGTTTTTTCTTATGTTTCGAGGTGAGATGTTCTCGATGTACAGGATAGGATGATAATCACAGTATAATACACCCTACAAAAGAGCAAGTCGAATAATTCCTAAACCACGTGAAAAAAATGTTACCACTTTCAAAGTTCGCGCTAGTAATAAGTAGGAAGATAAGTCGATCAAGCGGGAAACCCAAAAGCATACTGCTAAATATTCTAAGGCCATCAAGATGAACCAAGATCTTAAATTTAAGTAATCCTTCAGCTACAGAACTAACTACGTTTTCATGTACTGCTGTATAGATAGCAATCAAGAAAAAGTGGTCAAAGTATGTCAGGATATTGAGCGGATTGTTTAAAAAAGAACATGTTCTAGTCACGGGCTAATGGTCGTATGACTGGTTTCCACAGGCTTCTTGGGTTGTCGGTCTTTAATTTGTATAAATGAGTTAATTCGAGTTTATTTTTTCAATGATTCGTTGCTTTTGTATAATAATTGGTTTAATGGTGTCATTCTGAGTTTTGTTCAGTACCCATATATAGTTTTGATTCGTTAGGACAAAAATGACTTTGAGAAATATGATTATTCATGATTTCTCACTGAAAATGCCACAGGTATTTGGAGTTTGACAACGCTTTTGCCAGTAACACCTTCTAATATGAATCGTACCCACCAACTGAAATCAAAAGACAGAAGCAAGGTAGTTCGAAGATATATGTGATAGGCTACCGATATATCGGGGGTCGAATGATCTAATCTGGCTGGGAATTGCAGTGGATGTTGAGCACGAGATCACACGTTTCATACTCGATTTTAGTGGCATATCTCAAGGAGGCTGTAAAAAGGTAAAAGAAGAAGAAAGGACGAAAAGCAGAGCAGACAATGTTCACTAAGGAATAGTTAAGGTATGACTACTCAGTCTAATTCTCTCTTATTAAGGTATTTATTAGGCAAAAGTGTTCTAATAAGTTAAAGGAAATAAGTGTAAAGAGTGTATGATTGGATAAAGAACTGTATAAATGAAGATGGTTCAGAAAGAAGCTGAAAATATGGGATTATGTGTAGCTATAAAATATAGTGCTGAAGACAGTATTTTGATACACAGATGGCTATCTCCCCTTTTTTTCGGAGTTATTTGAGCCCATTTTTTGTAGATTTTATAGGGTCTTGAACAGACTTCGCTTTTAGCGAATTGGCTAGTTTGCTTGTAATAGGATTACTCGGTAGGCAGTGAAGCTAATTCAGCGTTGTAAACACGATTTAAGGAAGTATTTTGCATAGTACATCAGCATCAATACCATTGGTACGTGACATTCCACTAGATCATAAGGCGACATAATTAAACAAAATGTTCTGCCCTACAGACATGGGTGGATTGAAGTTATCTCCCTATCATCATGTTTGCTGGTCAGTAACGCCATTTTCAGTTTCTTCGAAAATGAAATAATACGCAGGTTTCAATAATGTTGGCATTATACTTGCCATATTTGGAAAAAAGAAGAAAAAATGATAATAATGATTATAGGATGATAATAATAAATCAAGTTCCGTATAATTGAGAATACTGAGTTGACTTTGAAGAAGGAAAGGGAGAGAATAAGAGAATAGAAATGAAGGAGATGCGAACTACGTAAATAGTTCAATAGGTGTGTTTGTGAACGTAGAACAAGAACAAACAATCACGTATTTATCGCTAATTGAGTGACAAAAATAAAATAGAACAAAATAAATAAGAAAAATATTTTATTACTGCAGTAAGATATGGCGGTAGAATAAGCGTTTTTTGACAAGTCTTGCTAAGTGGACGCTGTATTCGGTTCCTTAGCTCTTCTAGTAACCCCTAAGCTAGAACTAGACAGCGACTTGAACACGAGAGAAAAGGCGCAAAATATGTAAGAAACACTTTACTCCAAACGTTCATTTATGCACAGGAAGTACAGGTCTTTTACAGTATTTTAGATGCTCCTGAGTTTTCCCGAAAATTCCAGGATGCTACTAGACATGGTGGCAAAGTAGTAATCACCCTATCAGAAACCCAAATTGTGACCTTCCAACTTCTAGATGTTTCCGGAAAGACTTCTAGTGAACGCTGATTGTATAAGATGCTCCTCAGCGTTTTCAGAGCCTTTCTCAGCTATTTCGAGGAGTTTTCTGGATCTCTCCAAAACCCCCTTTCAAAAGATAAGGCATTTTCTTCGGGTCTACTTGCAGCTTGAAAACTGGTTTTCTGCGGCGTTAGGACTTCCTTTGTATCCAGCTTCTAGGAGTGTCTGTTGGGGTTCCTGTCGTTGGAGCATCTGTAATTATCTCTAGCGGAAGCCTCATTCGACTGTCTACAGTGTTTAGAGTCCTTTTCTCTCTGTGTACTTGATTGATATGTCTAATTAACGTTCCAGAAGTTTCACGCACATTGTGTAAAACATTTCCCATCCTCTTTACAATGACCATCGGTTCCCAACGATCTTCCCCAATGTATGACTTGATGAGCACTTTATCATCGACGTTAAATCTCCGGATATTCTGTTTTTTTGCGTCCATCCATTGGTTTAGGTGGTAACATAGCGTCGAATATAGTTTGAATGTTCCTCCCGAAAATCACTTCAGCAGTGGATTTCCTATCTGGAACGATAGAGTTAGGCGTAGTTCTATAAGCTGTTAAGAATTCTGTAATTACCTGACTCTTCCCCTCTCCCTGACCTTTCAGTAGTGTGTCCACAAAGCGCCCTGTCCATTTGGTTGAGAATGATAGGGTGAAGAGCGTATATGTACACTTCCATTGATTGAATGATTCTGCAGTGAATTGTATTTTGTTATCGGTAGCAAAAGTCTCCGGAACTCCAAAGAGGTTAAACAGTTCTGTGGGCAGCCTCTCTCAGGAACTGTCGGGTTTTTCTCATTGTTGCGGTTCACATTTCTTAGAACGTTTAGCTGCTTGCAGGCACGACGAACAATTGCGGTATTTGGTTTCAATATCTTGATACATTGTAGGCCAATAAGCATAGCTTCGAGCCAACGCTTTCATCTTATTGATGCCAGGATGACCGCTGTTAAATTGTCTCAGAACATTGTGGCGTAATGTTTTTGGAACAACAATTCGGTCACCAAACATCATGAGATAGTCCCGTCGGCAGAAATATTGTAGCATTTCTCTTCGAAAACGACAGTTCGGCCACTTGGTGAGAAGGTTGCCACTAACTTCTAATGTTTTGTCATTTTCCGTGGCTTCTTTGATGGCTTTGAAAGTAATTGGTAAACCACCGACTGTGTCTTCCAATACTCAATATACTTCTGTTTCGTCACAGTTGCGGCCACCAAAGAATCTTGCTGATTTACTCGTGAACCAATCAGTCTAGGTAAAGCGTCAGCTTGTCCAAAAGCGGTAGTGGGTTAGTAGTTGATCTTGAAGTCATAACACAAGAGTGTAGCTCCCCACCGTTGTAGTCTGTTTGCTACGTGTACCGGGATACCTTTCTTCGACCCAAAAATGGATAGTAATTGTTTATGGTCAGTTAACAGAGTGAACTTACGTCCAAATATCATCTTGTGAAATTTCTTTACAGCAAAGATAATTGACAATGCTTCCTTCTCAGTTCGACTGTAGTTACGTTCTGCTGTAGTTAAAGGTCTAGCCGCATGTGATATGCTTGGTTGAAGTGAGAAATAATTGTTCTAATGCCATAGTTCGAAGCATCCGATGATATTTAAATGGGTAAAGATGGATCGTAATGAGTGAGCAGCAAGTTTCAGACCAATTCCACTTTATATTCTTCTTCAGAAGGTCAATTAAAGGGGTACGTAGTTGATAAAAATTCTGAATAAAAGCACCTTCCATTTTAATCAGGTCATTATACCTGCAATTACTGCAAACTAATAAACCATACTCAAGAATGGGCAAGATACATTTTCTGTATAATAATAATAATCTCGATCCGATATTATTATTATTATTATGAGTCCAATGAACTTTTTAGCTTTGGATACTTGAGATGCAATATGCTCGGAAATGTTCAAACTGTTGCTATATCTCAAACCCAAGTCACGAATAGTGTTGAGAGGTTTCAGTGTATGCTTGTGCATAGCCAGATTTAGGTTAAGGCAGAGGCCAATGTGAATAAATCCACTTTTT